AGTGGTTCGGCTACGGCTGGCATCTGATCCGCTTCTGGCATGTCGTCCGTCTCGAAGACATCCCTCTCACCGATGGCCACAAACGGCAGGTTTGCGTACTTTGAACGGACATCCATTGCCTTCAATACTATCACCACAATTGGACTCAAATGTCTTCAACACAACTGTCACTGCAATTGATTTGTCTGCAAATACTCAACAAAACACTCATTCATTCATTGCTTACAATAAATAATGTGTTTATTTGGGAAAAGCCATCATTTGGTCGCGCATTGTGTCAACAAATAGTGATTGTGTTTAACATATAATTCAATTCAATTCACTATTAATACAATTGAAACCAATTGTTGTCCACTTTTGCCATTAAAAGGCTTATAAATCAACACAAAGAGTGGTATATTTGGCATAAGTTGTGATCAATAATAACTTTAATTTGAATTTAAAAATGCCTCAAATTGTGTAAAATATTTGCAATAACATTGAATTGTGGTTCAAATGCCTTATAATTGAGACAATAGTTATTGATTAGTGAAGTGAAGACAATTGAAGCCAATACTAAGTGATGTCGAGTAGAGGCGATATAAAGCGAATTAAGTCTCATTTGGGTCGAGAGAAGGACATGTCTGGAGAGTCTCGGCAGGTGTTCGGCAGAGCAGTGGTACGGCTTCCGTGGTATTCGCCGATTCGGTTCCGCAATATGGTTATAATGGCCGCATTCATCAGTTCCCTGGTGTTCGCCAAACCATTTTACGATCTCTACCAGGGATTCAGACGAGGCATCCGCTTAGAGGGCGAACGCAAGAAGTTTCTCAAACAACTCGATTCAGAAGAGGCCGAAGCGGCCGCCAATCCGCCCACCGCTTAACCACTAGCCATACATTAGATTTGCTTTTTCTTTGTGTAGATATAACTCAGTTTGTCGTTAAATAAATCATTTATTAAACGAAATACAATTGTGTTAAAAAAGTTCATTCATATATAATATAAGTTAATTTACAAATTAATGGTTTTTTGTTTTTGTTTTTTTAGCGAATAATTATTGTCTAATAATTTTTATACAATAATCACATTAAAGTACTGTATATTTAACAACGCGTTCAGGCGATCGTACATTTACTTTGCCTGTCGTTTGCATTAACTGTCGACTCGTGTCCTCTTTCGATAGAAATGATCAGTTTATGGAAAAAATCGGTTACTTTTGGGTTGTTTTTGGCGCTAAACATAACAATCAATTCATTAATTACCATAAGATATGCCACACATATAAAGCTGGTGTTAAGACATACCTGACTTCGACAAAGTCTGCTTTCATTAGGTCTGCGAGTTGTTTGCCCTCTTCATAAGACACACATCTCTCAACTTCAAGATCTAGTTTATTGCCCACGAGAACGATGGGAACGCTATTATCAAACATCACATTACAGTTATAGACATTGTTTGTATATTTAACACATGGTTTGGACACTCACTGCACTTTTCCGGTCATATCTAACAGTTTTTCGTGAATCACTTTTACGACTTCAAACGACTTCTGGCTGTTTATGCTATCATTGAATACAATCAATAGTTAAGCGACGGTTCAAACACTTGATCCCAAATGACAAACCTATAGACCAGACAATAGCCGTGAATGTCGATGGCGTACGCCTGAGGGAAGATGGAGTACTCGTCCTGACCCGCGGTGTCCACTAACCGAAGGCCGTATTCTTGTCCTTTGATTTTGACATTCTTTACGAAAGCTATTCAAATGAGACAATTGTTAGTCAATGAATAGACATTACGGTTAGAGTGGTATCGATATTGAGTGGGAATTACTGTTTTCAATGGTCGGGTCGTAAGAGTCGATGAACTTTCCCTCAACGAACTGAAGAGTCAACGAAGACTTGCCTTCAAAATACACGACAAGACAGTGAATGAATGGCAGACATGTGTTGGCCAGAGATGGCAATCACTTACCCACTGAACGGAACCCCATTAACGCAATCTTTCTCTGTTTTATAGCCATTTTAATGCATTACAACACAAACACATGTATTGTTACAAATGTATTAATAGTTTATTCAATTAAATTCAATACAATTAACGAAAGCAAACAGTTTTAATGAGATCTCAATAAGTGTTTCACAAATCAAAACAAAAATCACATTCAATTCAAATGTCGGCAAATCTCAACACTAGATGTGTTCACGGATTTCAAAACAATTAACTATTTGTGTCAAAACGTGAAGATGGAGTACTCGTCCTGACCCGCGGTGTCCACTAACCGAAGGCCGTATTCTTGTCCTTTGATTTTGACATTCTTTACGAAAGCTATTCAAATGAGACAATTGTTAGTCAATGAATAGACATTAAGTTAAAGTGGTATCGATATTGAGTAGGAATTACTGTTTTCAATGGTCGGGTCGTAAGAGTCGATGAACTTTCCCTCAACGAACTGAAGAGTCAACGAAGACTTGCCTTCAAAATACACGACAAGACAGTGAATGAGTGGCAGACATGTGTTGGCCAGAGATGGCAATCACTTACCCACTGAACGGAACCCCATTAACGCAATCTTTCTCTGTTTTATCGCCATTTTAATGCATTACAACACAAACACATGTATTGATAGAAATGTAATAATAGTTTATTCAATTAAATTCAATACAATTAACGAAAGCAAACACTTTTAATGAGATCTCAATAAGTGTTTCACAAATCAAAACAAAAATCACATTCAATTCAAATGTCGGCAAATCTCAACACTAGATGTGTTCACGGATTTCAAAACAATTAACTATTTGTGTCAAAACGTGTATTCAATACACTTTTATTGTCTATATTTAGCGTACAATTGATTTAAACACAATTCAACCAAATTATAGCCAAATGTAAACCAATATTCATTGAAATAACGAAACAAATGTTCAAATCTTATCAAACATTGCGAATGAGACCTCTATTTCATAGTAAGTGTGTATTCACTCAATGAGGGAGAGAGAGAGGGGGAGAGAGAGAGAGAGTGTGTGAGAGAGGGTATGGGAGAGTGTGCTAAAGGTGTTGAGAGTTGTGCCCAAACATACACTCCTATCGCTCCTACCATTGGTTAGCATTTTCAACACAATCTGTTGAATCAAACATTCATTTCAATGCTATCTTTCAAACATTCAATAAAATACTTGACAATGTCTTCAATGACTACATGTTTGCAACACTTCAATGCACTGTAAGGCACTGTCCCGACCCCTCACCCCTCCCCACCCCTTCTACTGTACACCAGGTCTACAATACTGTTCACTTGATCTCAAGTCAAGTCATATCATATTTTGTACTTTGAATGGCATATGAGATGTGAATGTATGGCAAAAACGCAAACTTTTCTCGTATGATAAATACATATCAAGTTTTGGCAATGTTTTTGCAAATTCAATACTTTGTTCCTATCGTTTATCAATTATAGCCTAAGAATACAGTAATTGCTTATAAATTGTACACTAATAGAGACATAAGACATAGAGTATTGATATAAGTTATATGATATAACGATAGCAATGGTAATGACATAATAATACAGTTGTAAAGAGTATTGTAATAACCGATTGCAGGCCTGTATTGCCTGAATTGGGGGCCGCCTTCCTATCGACCTCTATATACAGTATGTGTTGAGTGTTGTGTAGAGGCGTTGACGTCATAGCAGTGCTAGAGCTGTGCTATACCTGTACTGTACAGCCATTGCTGTTGTAGTGACGAGTGATTTGATGCCCACTTGTATTGTCCGCTCTTTAAACCATTCAATGAGTTTGAATTGAATCCACAATTCAGTTGATAACACATTTAATCGTCATTTTGAACAAAGCATTGGTTTGTGGTTTAGTTTTGGCACTAAATCTGGGCTAACATTGCGATCGCATTGTTGTCGTCATTTGTCTCATACACTGAACAACACGTAAATGACATCAAAATGGCCTCAACTTTGATGACTGAAGGTCTGTATGACTTGTTATTGTTGTTATTGTCGTCAACTAATCACACGAAACGTGTCTTCATTTGGACGACCAGTTAATGGCAGCAAAAGGACCCGAACTATACAAGAGATGAACACATCAGTGGCCGCAGCCTTTCAGAGTACGTGTCATTCACTATGTGTTGCATTGATTGATGTCATGTCATGTGTTTTGGACGACCAGTTAATGGCAGCAAAAGGACCCGAACTATACAAGAGATGAACACATCAGTGGCCGCAGCCTTTCAGAGTACGTGTCATTCACTATGTGTTGCATTGATTGATGTCATGTCTGTGATGTGTTGTCCGTCAGGTTTGGCCGAATTGTCTCATCGCGAATATCAGGCCGGAGACTACGAGTCGGCCGAAAGGCATTGTATGCAACTGTGGCGTCAGGACCCCACCAACACTGGCGTCCTTCTGCTCCTCAGTTCCATCCATTTCCAGTGCCGAAGACTCAAAGAGTAAATTGATTTGACTATTGTTTTGATTCAAGAGATCGCGGATTGTATTTGCGATTGAATGATGAAATGGTAACTAATTTGAATGTATGGACTGACAGATCGGCACACTTTAGTTCACTGGCGATCAAACAGAACTCACTGTTAGCCGAAGCCTATTCTAATTTGGGAAACGTTTACAAAGAGAAGAGTCAATTACAAGACGCGCTCGACAACTATAGACACGCCGTTCGCCTAAAGCCAGACTTCATCGACGGTTATATCAATTTGGCCGCAGCTCTGGTGGCGGCGGGCGATATGGAGCAGGCGGTACAGGCATATGTCTCGGCTCTGCAATACAATCCCGTATGTATTGAATGAATGGTCTGTTTTTGTGTTGAAATACTTGATTGAATTGTGTTTTGTATTTAAAGGATTTATATTGCGTTAGAAGTGATTTGGGAAACCTATTGAAAGCTCTGTCACGTCTCGACGAGGCGAAGGTAACACCACTCATACGACATGTTTTAGCGCGCGATTAATACATGCGTTTACTAACAATTAGGTTATAATTTTATTATTTGTTACAAATTTATTAATATTTTTCCCAAATTTGCTGCTATTTTGTCACTAAATTGCGGGAAAGCTATTGCCAGAGATTTTAATGTTTACTTCAAAGTCACGCAGCGATTAAATTATTGATTGATTGTATTATGTGTTTCTCAAAGTAAATGTTAAATTCAATTGTTGCCGCACTGTTAGTTAGATTGTTAACAATTGTTATTATGTTGGCATTGAATTTAATGTAATTGAGAAATATATGATTGCAATTGGAGCGGCGATTGTAAGCAAAGCGGCGGCGATCTGTTCGGGCATTATCTAAAGCGAGGTTTAGTTTGATTTGTTTTGCGTTTCTATAGTTTTGCATTTGAAATGAATTTGGAAATCGCTTTCCAATCGATAGGTTTAGTTCCTAAATTGCGACAACACTTGTAATACAAGTTCTGTATATCACAGTTATTGTCAGCGCTTTTATATTAAAGGCATTGCGGCGCGAAATTGATGACAATAACTGTGTCTAAATTATATGCTTAATATTATTTCTATTATATATTAATGACTTTGGAGTAAATGAACGCTAATGTGTTGATTAAAATCTCTGTTCGCGAATCAATTTAAATGAATGCAATTGATTCGTTAAATTGACATTAATTTTATATAATTTTATGCGAAACTAACAAATTTAGTAATAATTTGAGGGAAATTTAACACAATTTATCGAAAAATTGTTTTCAGAAACAGTCTAAACAATCAGTTAAAGAAAAGCACTAAAAAGTTATTAATTAATAATTGATTTCTTTTTTCTTTCCATCAAATGATAGCAATTGCTGTGAATTTACAGTACATGTCATGACATGACCTCTAAATTGGTTTGAATTAAAGGTACAGTAATAGGGTATCACTTGAGGTCACAGAGACTGACATTGCAGTTAACATTCGGCTTATGAAACGTTTAAATTGGCGGAGATATGACTGGAATCGATGGCACCGATAGTTGAATGTGGTAATGCTTGACCAAACATTTGACAAGTTTTACTCTTTGCCCGATCTTTCAGCCCATTGTCCCATATTTTGAGCTAAAAATAACATCTATTACTGAATAGATATTAATGAAGAGTTAGAACCCAAATAACAATCAAATGACGGGCAAAATCACATCAAACAAGAGTTTAAAGTATTGTAATATTATTTAAAGCACAGCCATAAGGGTCGGCGCTAAATGCTCAGCGAACGCGCGATGCACTGCGCTCTGCTCTGCGCGGCTCCGAATGCGGCGCGATTTGCGGCCAGCGATTCGTCCATTGATTGCCTGCTTTTGCCAGCGATCTGTCCATTGAATCGATTGCCTGCGTTTGCCAACGATTACTGCTCAGCATTGCGTTGCGTTGCGTTTGCATAGCGTTGCCATCATATCGGGTGCGTTGCGTTGCGGCGGCTCTACGTTCTCTATTATACCCGGTATTGCGCGCAAGGCTTGCGATCATTTTATTCACTGCAAAAACTCCATTGAATGCAATGCAAACTGAAACCAGTATTTTGCCGATTGAGTTGTTGTATATTATACACACATTGACCCGTTGGCTGTGTTTACGAGACAATTAAAGCCTGTTTCTAATGAATTTGTTTGTTTTGTATCCTTCCCTCTAATCCTATCTGAAGGCATGCTATCTAAAAGCGATAGAGACGTGTCCAACGTTTGCGGTCGCGTGGAGTAATCTCGGCTGTGTTTTTAACGCTCAGGGAGAAATATGGCTCGCCATTCATCACTTTGAAAAGGTATGCATACATTTAAACCGTGTTGTATTAGCTTTGTTTGCTTAATTGTGTTGTGTGTATAGGCGGTGGCTTTAGATCCTAACTTCTTGGACGCGTACATCAATTTGGGAAATGTCTTAAAAGAGGCCCGAATTTTTGATAGAGCAGTGGCTGCTTATCTCCGAGCACTCAACTTGAGCTCAAACAACGCTGTAGTTCACGGCAATCTCGCCTGTGTTTACTACGAACAAGGTTTGAATCCATTGTTTGTGATACCTTTGATTCCTCCTTCTAATGAGTATTGATTTAAAGGATTAATTGATTTGGCGATCGATACGTATAAGAGAGCGATTGAACTTCAGGCTAATTTTCCGGACGCGTATTGCAATCTCGCAAATGCTCTTAAAGAGAAGGGTCAGGTGAAAGAGGCCGAGGAGTGCTATAACACCGCCCTTAGACTCTGTCCAACACACGCCGATTCGCTCAACAACTTGGCCAACATTAAACGAGAACAAGGTTTGTGTTTGATTTGCCTTTTATTATGCAATATATTGAACCAATTGATTGTCCGTTTATAGGCTATATAGAAGAGGCAACCCGTTTATACCTGAAAGCATTGGATGTGTTCCCCGAGTTCGCGGCCGCGCACTCGAATCTGGCGTCTGTTTTGCAACAACAGGGAAAACTGAATGAAGCGCTCCTTCACTACAAAGAGGCGATCCGAATATCGTCGACGTTCGCCGACGCGTACTCTAATATGGGGAATACACTCAAAGAGATGGGTGACATTCCCGGCGCTCTCCAGTGTTACACCAGAGCTATACAGATCAACCCGGCCTTCGCTGACGCCCACTCCAACTTAGCCTCTATTCATAAGGATTCCGGTAATATTCCCGAAGCGATCGATTCCTATCGAACGGCACTCAAGTTAAAGGTACGCAAAGTAATGGTCGATAACTCGTTTACTTATGGTTAGCATTTGATGTTTTAGCCCGACTTCCCGGACGCGTATTGCAATTTAGCGCATTGTCTGCAAATCATCTGCGATTGGACTGACTATGACTCGCGTATGAAAAAATTGGTGACCACTGTCTCCGAACAGCTCGAGAAGAATCGTTTACCATCAGTACATCCGCACCACTCTATGTTATATCCATTGTCTCACGACACGCGCCGAGCGATTGCTGCCCGACACGCGGCTCTGTGTCTGGAGAAGGTTCAGGTCCTCCATAAGTCTCCGTATACTTTCAAGAGGACAGTGACTGAACGCTTACGTATTGGTTATTTGAGTTCGGATTTCGGAAACCATCCGACGTCTCATTTGATGCAAAGCGTTCCCGGAATGCACTCCAGAGACAAAGTGGAGGTTTTCTGTTACGCGCTGTCGGCCGACGACGGCACCACATTTAGAGCTAAAATAAGCTCAGGAGCCGATCACTTCGTCGACTTGTCGTCCGTCACATGCAATGGCAAAGCGGCCGATCGTATACACGCCGATGGCATTCATATTCTCATTAATATGAACGGTTACACCAAAGGCGCCAGAAATGAAATATTCGCTTTAAGACCGGCACCCATTCAGGCCATGTGGTTGGGATACCCGGGAACGAGTGGCGCATCCTTTATGGACTATATAATCACGGATGCGGTGACGTCGCCCATAGAGTTGGCCTATCAGTATTCAGAGAAGTTGGCGTATATGCCCGACACGTTCTTCGTTGGCGATCACAAACAAATGTTTCCACATCTCATCGAAAGAGTCATTTTAATGGACTCTAATAAGTTGGCCATTGCTTTGGCGTCGGATTCTAATGACACGCCTCCGGACACGATTGCGATCGTAAACGCGACCGATTTGTCGCCGATTATGGAAAAGGCAGACTTGAAAACGGTTCGAGAAGTGGCTGTTGTGACCACAATTGCCACTTCTTTAGCTACTATTCATCCCGTGATCTCTACTGAAAAAGTGGAAGTCGTGAAGACTGTGGTTGAATTGCCGACAACACAACCTGTGCAGGCGATGATTACCAACGGACACGTCCAGACATCAGTCAATGGCATTGTAGTCCAGAACGGACTCGCGACCACTCAAATGAATAATAAAGCGGCCACTGGTATGACATTTGCATGAAAATGATGATGTACAAAAGTGCTGTATTTTGACCATTGATTTTAACATTTGCTCGCAGGAGAGGAAGCGCCCAAAGCAATAGTTGTGACAACACGTCAACAGTACGGTCTTCCCGAAGACGCGATAGTATTTTGCAATTTCAATCAACTCTACAAAATAGATCCGCAAACTCTGAGGACTTGGGTTAATGTGAGTTTGAGATGCCTTTGGAGTAAATGGATTTAACAATTAATTTCTGATTAAAGATTCTAAAAAGAGTGCCAAACAGTGTGTTATGGCTGTTGAGGTTTCCATCTGTGGGTGAGACCAACATTAGTCTCTCGGCTGCCAGTTATGGACTTCCATCCGGACGTATAGTGTTCTCAAATGTGGCCGCAAAAGAGGAGCACGTGAGGAGAGGCCAACTCGTGGACGTTTGCTTGGATACGCCTCTATGTAATGGACACACCACTGGTATGGATGTTCTTTGGGCGGGAACTCCGATGGTTACACTGCCCAGCGATACACTGGCCTCGAGAGTGGCCTCATCTCAGTTGACGTGTTTAGGAGTTCCCGAACTCATAGCCAAGTCATACGACGACTACGAGAATATTGCTGTCAAATTGGGAACAGACAAACAATAGTGAGTTTGCCATATATTAATTGCTTGTATTGTATTGACATTTGTATTGAATGTGTTTAGTTTGAAAGCGATTCGAGCGAAGGTTTGGGCCCAAAAATCTGAATCTCCACTTTTCAATGTCAGGACCTATACCTCAAACTTGGAGAGACTCTACCATAAGATGTGGCAACAGTTCTGCGAGAAGGAGACACTCGATCACGTCATCGATTGGTACTAATTCTTTGCTCTTATTTATCAATCACTTCTTTCTGTCATTTGAATGAATGTATGATTTTAATGATATTTAAATGATTTTATTTCTAAATTATGTATAAAATATATATTTCAAATAAAAGTCAGCATTTTGATGCTTTTCAATCATTTGTATCCATTATTGCCATTCTTCCCAATGAAGTATTGATAATATAACTGTAATAATTTATAAAGGACTCCATCTGATCCATTCGGTGATCTTATTAAACGGTTATATTATAATCCGGTAATGCATTTCACATGTACTGTAATATTACAGTGAATTCAATGACCAATAAGTGGTGTATTGTTTGGACACGTGATGGAAAACTCCTCCCATTTGTTGTGATTGAAAATGTGTTCACTTTTGAGACAATAATTTAAATCACATTTTGTTTTGAATGACAAAAATGTTTAAACAATTAATCCAAAGACCAAAGTGTTTGCATCTGAAGAGGAATGCCATTCCATACGGGTGTCAATTGAGACAACTGTCGGACACAACTGGCGATCGGACGGGCGGTGAAGACGGGATCGCCTCGTGGTTCACGTCTACAGAATCGGATCAATTGGAGGAACGAGTGGTGAAACGGCCGGTGAGTTATCTTCCGGACCATTTGGGACAGACGAGGAAATGGATCAAACAGAAGCCGTGGTGGAGATACAAGTACTTCATTAATGTCAACCCATTGGACAACAAGAAGAGCGAATGGACGCAAACGCCTGAATACCCGCCATTAGGCGACGCCTCCAAAGATGGACAGAACAAAGACATACGACTCGAATGGTATGACGCCATCCGAAGACTGCCGTCCGCTCAGCAAAAGGAGTACGAGATTTGCCGACATTATTATCACTTGAGTTACATCTTAGAGCCAGTGATGCCTCAATACAATGCGCTGGCATTGCATCAGTTCATCACCAGAACTCATCTCATCTCTGGTCACATGCCTTCCTCTTACGACCAAATGGACGTCAACTCCATTCTCGACCCAAACCTAAAGCAATCAATTCTTGACTCAATTTGTTTGCATTTATTTCAAACCAATCAAAGAAAGCCGTCGTTTGAGTTCAAAACGGCTAACTTTTCAACGCTTGGATTTCCTGATCCCGATCTTCGGGTAGATTTAGCCAAACAGGAGGACACCATTGAAGATATCATTGGAATTGTGCGAAGAGCTCTTCAGCCTAAATATCAACATTTGTCTCAACTTCAGGTAATTATCTCACATTTATTTATGAATTCTTAAGAAACTGTTTAACTAATGGTTACTCTAAACTCATTTTGTATTTATTCCACCAAAAATGTGTCCCAAATGTGGTAATGATATGAACTGAACGATAGATGGATGTGAATCCATATGTGGTGAGCAGTTGGTTTCACGGGGACTATCCGACGCCTTTCATCAAAAAGAAATGGTTCCCAAACGACACACACGACCAACAATTCACATATAAGTCGACTCATTCTTTCAATATGAGAGCCGAGAAGCCGTTACCGCCTGTAAGTCGAGTATTGCTATTCTGATATAGAAAACAATTGGTTTAATTCGATGTTTAATTTTAGGCCATTTCTCTCGAAGACGACATCTGTTTGAAATCAGAAATTCCTGAATACAAATATCGTTTACTAAATTTCGGATATCCTCTGCGGCGCCAATCATTGTCTACATTACCGGGCTTTTGGAGCGACCGCTCAAATGGGTTTGATTTTCCAAACCTTATCTGTCATACAAGACATCCCTTGAAATTAAGGGATAGAAAAAATGACAGATCTTTTGATGACGACCAACAAGTGTTGGACGGAATGGCCATCTCATCATCGTTTGCATGGCTCCACAGTTTGGCCTCAAATCTCGGATTTTCTATTTTTCATGAATTAACGTATCCTTTGGTCACTCACGCCATTATAACCGACGGCCAGTTTTGGTCATTCTATGTCTATCAACTCAATACACACTGTTTTCATAGCGATATCGATAATAATGTGTTGCGTAATGTCTGTTGGAGTTCCGGTGAGCTTAAGCTCTTTGACAGCTATGAAAATGGACAGCTTATCGGTGTTAACGATGAAGTCCTCAAACTATTGATCAAAGTATGTTTTCATGAGTTTTACACATAAATTCATTATTAATTTTGTTGACAGTTTATGGCTCGTGAGCCACAAGTGAGCGATAACTGTGTTCTTCGGCCGTATTTGAGTGAAGACCAGAGGGAGGAAAGGGATAAAGAAGAACTGAGTTATTCATTGAGGAGAAAGTATGGCAATTATCGCAATCCATGGGTACAGACGCGTCAAAGAGTGCACTTATGGGAGAAGATATATAAGTACCACAAAGA